AAAAAAAAAAAAAAAGAAGCCAGGCTCGGTGGCTCAGCTTGTAATCCCGTGCCTTTGGGAGGCTGAGGTGAGTGGATTGCCCGAGCCCACAGGTTCGCCTGGGTAGGCGAGACCTCATCTCTACAATAAAATCAAAATTAGACGGGCGTGGTAGCACGCACCTGTAGTTCCAGCTACTTGGAAGGCTGAGGCGGAAGGATCGCCGGAGCCCAGCAGGTCAAGGCTGTGGTGGCCAGAAGCGGCCACTGCACTCCAGTCTGGGCAACTCCAACTCAAAAAAAAAAAAAAAAGAAAAAGAAATACAGGAAAAAACAATGAAAATTTTCATATTTACACAAATGTGGGTCAACAGAAAGATGAGAACAACTGAACTGTCCCTGCCAGGGTGAGCTAGGCAAGGATACCCAGAAGCAGCAACACCAAGTTATGCCCGTGCCCTACTATCCTTACCATGTCCTTCCCTTGGAACTTTCTTGTCTATGATGTCTTACCAGAGCAGAAGTCATCATTCACTGTCTTGGTTTCTACATAACTTAAAGAATAACTGTCAGTCTCCTCTTAGTCACTGAAGCTAAGAGAAGTAGTATAAACTCTCTCAGGTCAAAATCATCACGTTCTGGATGATTTTCAGCACTTTTAGCCTACATTTTTTCAGTTATTCCAGGACAGAATATCAGAAATCAGAACCTACCAAAGTCACTGGAGGAACAGGATGCCAGCTGATGGGTAACAGGATTGTAGGAGACACACTGTATAGAATCATTGTGCCTGGGAAACAATTATAGATTTTTATGCAGCAAACCATAAACATCTCAGTGGATACAATGGAAGATTTTAATAACAAGTCCATAGCCTCTGACTACAAACCACATGCTCTTCTGCAAGTGACTAATAAAAAGCACAGAAATAAATTATTCTCCTGGACTGCACCTCACCCATCATTTTCATTACCCATCCCATCATCCTGGTCCAGTTTAAATGATACCTCCTCTGGTACTATCATGCTGGACACTTCCAGTTTGTAAGCTGATGAGATAACGACATAAGGGACCTAGCCTAGGGCCAGGTGCAGAGCAAGTGCTTTATTTATGGCTGTGACTCTTACTGTTTTGTAGAGACCTGGAAATACAGGATGGAGGTACCATGAAGGCATTACAGGCCAAGATCTAGAGATATGGCAAATCCTTAGACAACAATGAAAACTGAGCAAGTCATGTACCGTGCATGGCACCTCAACCCCAGCTTTATTCCTTCTCTTCTGAGTAACACTTTACTTACAGTCTCTCATTCATTCATTTATTCATTCATTCAAAAGTTGAATGTGTACACCCATGTTCAGAGCATTATTCACAACAGCCAAGAGGAAGCAACCCAATGCCCATCGACAGATGAATGGACAAACAAAATGTGGCCCATACATACAGTAGAGTATTGTTCAGTCTTAAAATGGAAGGAAATTCTGACACATGCTACAACATGGATGAAACTTGAGAACACGATACAAAGTTGAATAACTCCTTCACGAAAGGACGAGGTACGTAGAGCAATCAAATTCATAGAGACAAAAATTAGAATAGTAGTTGCGACAGGCTGGGGGAATGAAGAGTTTGTGTTTAAAGGGTGCAAGAGTTTTAGTTTTACAAGATAAAAAAGTTTTGGAGATTAGTTGCACAACAATGTAAATGTATTGAGCTGTAAACTTTAAAAAGGATTAAGATGATAAATTTTATGTTATGTATATTTTGCTACAATTACAAAGAAAAGATTAGCCGGGCTCGGTGGCTCAGCCTGTAATCCCGCACTTTTGGGAGTCTGAGGTGAGTGGATTGCCTGAGCCCGCGGGTTCGAGACCCGCCTGGGCAACTTGGCGAGACCTCATCTCTACAATAAATCAAAAAATTAGCCGGGTGTGGTAGCGTGCACCTGTAATTCCAGCTACTTGGAAGGCTGAGGCGGAAGGATCGCTGGAGCCCAGCAGGTCGAGGCTGCAGTAGCCGTGAGTGTGCCACTGCACTCCAGCCTGGGCAACAGAGTGAGACTCCGGCTCAATAAATGAATGAATGAAAAGAAAGAAAAGTGCTGAGTACCTACTATGGGCCAGGCATTGCACTAGGCATCAGCGACACAAGAGTGGGCAAAAATCAGATGCACCATCTGCCATAATGGAGCTTACAGGCTAATGAGTGATATTGATCAATCACTAAAATAAATGTAAAACTACAACCATTAAGAGATGCCACGGGCCGGGCTTGGTGGCTCAGCCTGTAATCCCGCGCTTTGGGAGGCTGATGTGAGTGGATTGCCTGAGCCCGCAGGTTCAAGACCCACCTGAGCAACTTGGTGAGACCTCATCTCTACAATAAATCAAAAATTAGCCGGGCGTGGTAGCGCGCGCCTGTAGTTCCAGCTACTTGGAAGGCTGAGGCGGAAGGATTGCTGGAGCCCAGCAAGTTGAGGCTGCGGTGGCCGGGAGCGGCCACTGCACTCCAGTCTGGGCTACAGAGTGAGACTCTAACTCAAAAAAAAAAAAAAAAAAAAAAAAAGAGAGAGATGCCACGGGCCACTGCCCTAATTAGACTCTGGTGTGGCCATGTATTCTTTGAGCTATGGCCGTTGCCATTTTTCCTGGCTTTGGCACCCTTCCCTACCTTGGGGAGGAGAATCTCCTGTCTCTCTCTGTCTCTCTAATTTACTTTCTAAATAAACTGCATTTTCTAATCTAAAAAAAAAAAAGAGAGAGTGAGAGATGCCACGAAGGAGACCTGCCTGAATCTAGAGGGGCGAGAAAGTCTTTGCAGAAGAAGCAATATCTGAGTCTGAGTCTGCAGGGTTGGTAGGAGCTAAATAGTGGAGGAATGGGAGGAGAACATGCCCTCACAGTGACAGGGGGACTGGAGCATCAAGTTTCTGCCTTTGACACTAGGTGGATATAAGGCCATTTCCTGAGACAGGGATATTAGAAGAGGGCCAGCTGGGGGTGGGGTGGAATCTGCGATGTCAGATTAACTGAGATGAGCAATATAAAAGCACCCAGGCCAGTGCTGACCAAGCTAGTAAGCACCCAAGGAGTATTTATTCACTTATTCACTATCCAGCCTTCCTGTACCCACCACACTACCCACCCCCTTCCCCCAACCCATGGCCTAATTTCAAGCTCAATTTCAGAGGAAAAAGTTTTCCTTAATGCTAAGGGAATTTTGCTACAATTATTCAGTAAGAGTCAAACTAATCATACTGTACACCTAAATGGTTACTTACAAGTACTTCAGAATGCCTTCCAGTTTTGAAGTCCAGATAATAATACTTTTGTCAGCTGATCCAGAAGCAAAGCGCTTGCCTAAAAATGTTTTTGAAAAGAAAATTCTCACATTTATTTTAAACCAGCATTTCCCAGAGAGGATTTTTAAGAAAACAAGTTTTTAAAAGTACCTAATAAGTGTCAACTTTTTCTCTACTATTTTCATCAGTACTGGGAAGCAATACTTTGGAGTCAGGATGTTTGGGTTCCAAACTTGCTCTGTTTGGACTGAGTAGACAAAAGATACATTGAGGGCCTACTACATGTAGGTGTCATGTTCTGTGCTAAGGATCAAGTAATTATTAAAACACATATGCTCCCTACTTTCATGACGTTTAGTATAGTGGAAGAAGTAGGCATTAAACCAAATCAATCCAACACAAATACAACATGGCAAGAAAAGACAAGAATCTTATCTGACAAATAATAATTATATATATTTATGGGATACAATGTGATGTTTTATATATATATACATATTGAAGAATTAGTATCTTAAGCTAAGTACCATATCTATAACCTCAGATACTAATTTTTTATAGTGAGAACATTTTAAATCTATTCTTTTGAAATATACGTTATTATTAACTATGGTCACTACGCTGTGCAATAGTTCCCAAAAACTTACTCCTTCTGTCTTATTGGAACGCTGTACCCTTTGGTCAACATGTCCTGGGGGGCCTAATTTAGATAAAGGAAGTCTTCTTTGAGGATGAGATCCTTCAGCAGAGACCTAAAGGATGAGCACAGCTTAGCCAGGTGTAAAGAGAGAAGAAAGACGCATCCCATGGACAAACAGATGTGCAAAGACTGAGGCAGGGAAAGCCTGAAATGTCTGAGGGGCTGAGAGACAGCCGGCATGGAACACTGAGGGCAAGGGGTGCAGTGGGTGGTGAGAGGCTCTGCAGTGGGCCCCAACCTTTTTGGCATCAGGGACTAGTTTTGTGGAAGACAATTTTTCCATGGGCAGGGACGGGGGATCATCAGGCATTAGATTCTCAAAAGGATTGTGCAACGTAGATCCCTCATATGCACAGTTCATAATAGGGTTTACGCTCCTATGAGAATCCAATGCTGCAGCTGATCTGACAGCAGACAGAGCTCCACTTGACTGCTGCTCACCTCCTGCTGTGTAGCCTGGTTCCTAACAGGCCATGGATGATACTGGTTCATACCAGTTTGTAGCCCCGGTGGTTGGGGATCCCTGCAGGGGCTTCAGAGCCACTTTGTTCTTTATCCCAAAGCAATGGGAAGCCAAAGAAAGACTTTAAGCAGGAGAGTGGTAGATCAGGTTGGCATTCACACTACTTGTGAACTACTTGTTCATACTACTTGGACTTTGTGAAAGAAAGGGTGGAGAGAGGCAGCATACTTCTTATTCATTACTTATTAATTACATTGTTACACATGAAGAGAATCAGGGTATCATGGTAGCAAGCAACAGGGAGCCTTCACCTACTCTGGTGACAGAAGAGGATTAAGAGGTAAGCATGTCCAGATTTTATACATCTTGTTAAGGATTTAGACTTTATTCTTAGGGCAAGTGGAAGGTGACCTTGGGCAAGTCACTGCTCTTTGAACCTCAAAGTCTTCATCTGAAACACAGAGGGAAACACAGAGGGAAAATAATAACCTTTCACAGTAGCTGAAGCAGAAGACATTAAGGCGAGCCATATGACATTGCTACAAATACCAAATAAACAGAAACTGCCCTTATTATTTCTGTCATGCCTCCCTCATACTGGTAGGCAGCAGGTGATGAAGGGTATGGAGTTAGTGATGTCATTGACCAGCTACCTGACTGGGAACCAACTATGACCATTTCTATGCTTTCATTTCCTCATTTGAAAAATGGATACAGCCGGGCTTGGTGGCTCAGCCGGTAATCCCGTGCCTTTGGGAGGCCAAGGTGAGTGGATTGCCTGAGCCCGCAGGTTCGAGACCCGCCTCGGCAACTTGGCGAGACCTCATCTCTATGATAAATAAAAAATCAGCCGGGTGTGGTAGCGCGTGCCTGTAGTTCCGGCTACTCGGAAGGCTGAGGCGGAAGGATCGCTGGAAGGATCGCTGGAGCCCAGGAGCGGCCACTGTACTCCAGTCTGGGCGACAGAGTAAGACTCCCACTCAAAAAAAAAAAAAAAGAAAAAGAAAAAAAGAAAAATGGATACAATAATAGTATTTACCTCATAGTTAATGTGAAGTTAAATGAATGTGAGAGTGTGTGTGTGTGTGTGTGTGTGTGTGTGTGTGTGTGTGCACGCGCGCGCGCGCATATACAGTTGACCCTCAAACAACATGAGTTTGAACAGTGCAGGTCCGACTTACACCGATTTTCTTCTGCCTCTGCCTCCCTTGAGCAAGACCATCCCTTCTCTTCCTCTTTCTCCTCAGTCTATTCAACATGAAGAGGATAATGATGAAGAGCTTTATGATAATCCACTTCCACTTAATGAATAGTAAATACCTGTATATTTTCTCTTATTATTTTCTTAATTAACATTTTCTTTTCTTTAGCTTAGTTTATTGTAATAATATAGTATAAAATATATATAACATACAAAATATGTGTTAATCAACTGTTTAGGCTATATGTAAGGCTTCTGGTCACAGTAGGCTATTAGGAGTTAAGTTTTGGAGGAATCAAAAGTTATAAAGGTTTTTTACTGCGTATGGGGGTGGTTCCCTGGACCCCATGTTGCTCAAGGGTCAACTGTATTATTATACTATTTTTCCTCATATTACTTTATATTGTTTTCCTTGAACAAAAAAAAAACTATGTCTTGCACACTTGTATCACAGTTGCTTATATATACTTATTATCTTAAGGGAGAAATCAGAAACAAGCAGGTTTAAACAAATCATCCCTTATTATCTTAAGGGAGAAATCAGAAACAAGCAGGTTTAAACAGCAAAGCTATAATTCAGTGTATCTCAGTTTTCACATGTAAGGGGAAAAGACCAGTTTAGAGGAATTAAAGACTTCTTGATCATTATGGGTCATGAAGAAGCAGCATGACATACTAAGAAGAACAAGTGTTCTGTAGTCAGAGGACCTTGGTCAGGTCTACCTCTGCCACCATCATGGTCATTGCTTCAAGTCTGTTTTCTCATCTTTAAGCAGAGTGAGAGTCCCCTCGCTGCCTGCTTCAGAGCGTTGTTGGGAGAATCAGATGAGATGTGTGTGACAGGAATCTGCAAAGTGCTATGCAAATGTCACTGCTGGCAGGTCACTCTGACATCCTCCAGTGCCTTAATAGTGTTGCAGGTCAAAAAGTCCAACTATAATTATAAACTCCAGGGGCTCAACAGACCTTCTGTATCTACTGGCCTTGTACTAGGCCCCGGACTGGCCCATGTACCTCAAAGGCCATTAGGATAAAGCAGAAACAGTTCAGCTCTCCAGGTTCCCTCCTCACAGGTTTCCTCACATTACTTTGAACGTGAACTCAAACACACACGTTAGAAGAAGAAAAAAGGCGACTGTCATAGCATAGCAAGACTGACCATGAAGCAAGAAATTGGGCTAACCTGCTACATAACCTTTGCAAGTCACATGGCTTGGCTAAGTCTTTATGCAGGGTTAAAGTGACGAGACTGGACTAAATCAGACTAAAACTATATGCATGAAATTTTGCATATGCATGAAGTATATGCATGTTTCTAGAAAGTGGTCTATAGCTTTCATCTGATTCTCAAAGAGGTCTGTCATCCAAAACACTTAAAAACCTGGGGCCTGAATACTCTCCAAGGTTCATTCAAGCACTATAACATTCCACTTCTATGACTTCTCAACAGTGACCACAGAATGTTATCTCTAATCCTGTATCCATTTGAGGCATGAGAAAATTGAGACTCAGAGAGACTCAAGATCCCATTCAAGCACACAGTTTTGGTTTTGGGCTGGGGCTGCAGCTCATTGCAGCCAACATTTTCCCCACTAATCCCATGCTGTAGTGTAGCATACATTTATTTTTAAATAAATTTCAGTCTCAATTTCATGCACCCATTCTCTGACCACCATCTCCCTTCCTTCCCAATCCACCTGGTGCCTCAACTGCAATAATCCTTCAACCCCTCCAGGATCACTACCTCTCCATTGTGGTCTCCTCTTCCCTCATTATTCAGCCAACATTTCCTTTTTTTTTTTTTTAAGTTGGAGTCTCACTCTGCCACCCAGGCTGGAGTGCAGTGGCACACTCACAGCTACCCTAGTGTCAACCTGCTGGGCTCTGGCGATCCTTCCACCTCAGTCTTTCAAGTATCCAGAACTATAGGTGCACACTACCACGCCCAGCTACATTTTAGGTCAGCATATATAATAATTTTTGTACCCTCTGCTTACTCGCCCTCTCACTTCAACTTCAGACGTGCTTGTGAAAACCATGTCTGGTGAAATGCACCTCTTCTGCCTCTGCAACTGGTTCTCTCTGCTCTAGCTCCTAATGGGCACACTTCCAGTGAGGGCTCTTCCCCTGCAAAGAGCTCAAAGTGGCTGGAGAAAAAGACATAATCATACCAACTGATCTCACTTCCAACTCACGATTACAGCCTTCAGTGGGCCCGCCATGTCACCAGAGACCTCACTCTCCTCCCTCCTAGACAGCAATTTCCCACTTTTTCCTTTCTCCTCAACTCTCTAATACCTCCTTCCCATCCTTACTTACTCTTAGTTGATGTTGCTTCCTAATTTACTGAAAGATTGGAAGGAATCAAAGGGAATTTCCAGTAGGCTTCTACTACCACACTGCCCACTTGCCAGTCTCTGCAGTTCTTACCATACCCCACCTGAAGTAAACGCCCCATCCATACCCAAGATCTCATCTCCTCTTGCCTATTCAACAACCTGATACAGCAATGCTCTCCCTTCTCTCCATTGTCAGTTTTTCTCAAATTCAACATATCCAAAACTAAATTCCTGATCTTACACTGTAAGTTTTCTCAGTCTGCAGCCTTTCTAATCTCAGTGGGGGGAAACTCCAACCTTTCAATCGAGCAGGTCAAAAACCCTAGAGTCACCTTTGACTCCTCTTTCTTCACATCCCACATCCAACCTGCCAGGTAATCTCTCTTGGCTCCACCCTCTCAACATGTCCAGAATCTGATCATTACTTACTGCCTCCTCTGCCCTTCAAAGAGGTCTGAGCCACCATCATCCCTTGCCTAGATGAATCCTCCTCATTTATCTCCCTGTCCCAGCCCTCAGGATGTTTCCAACCCAGAAGCTAGAGGGATCCTTTGAATATAAATCAGATCTGACCCTCCTCTGCTGAGAACCTTTCAGTAGTTCCCCCATTTTCACTGAGAATCAAAGCCAAAGTCCTTATAATGGCCAACATGATCTGGCTGTCCCATGCCTGTTACCTCTTGATTCTCATTCCCTACAACTCCCTCTGGTTCTCTCTGCTCTAGCTCCTACTGGACACACTCCCAGTGAGGGCTCTTCCCCTGCAAAGAGCTCTCTTCCTCCAGATGCCTACAGCCAGACTCTCACTTGTCCCCATCCCAATGAGCCCATCCTCACTACCCGTATTCAATACTGCACCCAACCCTCTGCCCAGCCCAGAACTCTGAATCCCTCTTATTTTTCTCTACCTTCTCTTCTTCCATACACTTATCAGCTTCCAGCATACTACTGAATATACCTATTACTATGGTTCTTGGATGTATGTCTTGCCTGATACTCTATTCCTCTCTCCCACCCTCCTCTCACTGCACAGAATACAAGCCCCACAAGGGCAGGGACCACTGTCTACTTTTTTCTCTGAAGCATCTCAAGCACCTTTAACAGTGCCTGGCACATAGATGGCTCTCAGTAAATACTTGTTGAATTGAATGTTAAAGTCTAAGCAACTTCACCATCTTTTGAACCTACAAGCTATGTTTCAGCTTACTAAAAAGAACTAAAGAGTGACTAAGCAGAAGAATGAAGAGCGACGAGGACACTGCAGAGACTGGAAACACAGAGCAGCCTCTTACCATCCTTTGCGTATGCCACACAGTACACGGTGTCTTTGTGTCCCTTGAGGGGCTGAAGTAAGGTACCATCAGAGGTCTCATAAACCTAGCAAAAAAAGAGACAAATACGGATAACCCACATGATACCCATTAGTCAGAATTCCTGCAGGGTTGCTACTGCTATTTTTGTTTTTAATAACAAAACATTTGTCAATATTCTAAATTTGTATCAAACGAAAACTGCACTGCAAAACCAGAAAGGATGTGACATAAAGTTGGGTAACCAAGAAATGGAGGTCTCGAGTCTACGCACTGTGTGACCAGGAATACACCATTAATCCTAAAGAGCTAAAGGTTCAATTGCTCACTCTGTGGAAATTTCCTACAAACTTCACTCATTCCCACATGAATTTCGACATATAACCAACAAGGCAGGTTCTTCTAAATAAAACTAGCACACGAAAGAGCCAGCCACAACATGATTGTTTTAGTGCCAGCCCTGCTCCCTAATATCAATATCATGGAAAAATGTTTCGTATTTTCTAATAAGAGTTTGAAAGTCACAGTCCTGAACTCTGGGTTTTCAAGTAGGAGGGAGTATTATAAAATACAACTGTAATGTGGATTTAGGCTATCTGATAGCTGTGCAACGTCTATCAATAAGTGGGAAGTTAAAAAACACACCATCTGAGAAACCAAAGTGAAACTTTCCAAAACGGTTAGTGTTGGAGAAGATAATCTATGAAGAAAAACTAAAAGAATCTGAATGATTTACCCTGGAAAGAAGTCTGCAGAACAATTTAACCATGGTTTTAAGATTATGTAGTTACCATACAGAGAATGGAGATCAGTCAGCCTGCATATCTAGAGACAACCGAGAAGAGGAAGCAGACTTATGCAGGAGGAAGGAGAGAGCATAAGAAGGTTTTTAGGTCAAACAGAGTTCTCTGGAAATTACTTTTGTACACTGGGATAGGTTCCAGAGGGAGATTATATTCTTTGAAAATATGAAAAATAGCCAGGCTTGGTGGCTCAGCCTGTAATCCTGCACCTTTGAGAGGCTGGGGTGAGTGGATTGCCTGAGCCCGTGGGTTCGAGACCCGCCTAGGCAGTGAGACCTCATCTCTACAATAAGTCAAAAAATCAGCTGGGCGTGGTAGTGCATGCCTGTAATTCTGGCTATTCGGGAGGCTGAGGTGGAAAGATCGCCGGAGCCCAGCAGGTCGAGGCTGCGGTGGCCAGGAGTGGCCACTGCACTCCAGTCTGGGCGACAGAGTGAGACTCCAACTCAAAAAAAAAAAAAAAAAAAAAAGAAAATATGAAAAATAGGACAGTATCCATATGAAATTGTTTAGGTAAGCCAGTGCCAAAAAGTTGGGGTCAGGTTATCTGGCTTTTCATGGAGGGAGCACCTTCAGTTTTGTTGCTTGAATTTTTCTGGGGGACAAAATGTAAACTGACACTAGCCCACTTTCAAAGGCATTTTGATTAATTGTTTTCAACTCTTTCATGGTATCTCAAATTATAAAGGGAAAGATTAATGACTCCAAAGGAGGTATTGTTCATAAGTTCCTATCTGATGGACAGTTTACTTACCTGTTTTAAATAGCCCATTTCCTTCCCTGCTAAAATGTAATGACTGGTTTTCTGCCCTAGCCTTTTTTATCTCAAAAAAAAAAGAGGTCAAATTTCAGAGTACTTATAAGAGGAGGGGGGGAAAAAGCACTTAAAAAGGAAACTCAGACAAAATCCTACCAGTAATCTGTTTCCTGCAGCCAGAATCAGTTGAGTTCCATCGGGCTTAAATGTGAGGTCATATATACTAAACAGGAGACAAGACAAAAAGACAATCAGGAACCAAAATTATGAGGTCTGCTAATGGCCAGGAAAGCAAACTTTATTTCCATTATGAAACACTGCATGTGTACTGAGGAGAAAAATAATAGCTAAGAATTGCATTTGGCTGCAAATTCCATTCAACCACCACACTTTGGCAGCCCATTCAATCATGATGCACTCGGTAGTTAGTTCTATAGCCCAATTTCCTCTTGTCCAGAAGCCAGACACTGGAAATGATTCAAAGGGTTGACACTTTGAGGGCACTAACTCTTCAAATAATACCATAGGAAGGCTGAGGCAGAAGGATCACCTGAGCCCAGCAGGTCTACGCTGGGGTGGCCACTGCACTTCAGCCTGGGTGACAGAGTGAGACTCCAACTCAAAAATAATAATAATAATAATAATTCCGTAAAGCCTAAACAACCTGAGAGAATGTGCGAGGGCTAATAAACCCACACAGATACTTACTGAGTACCTCTTAGGTGCTAGGCAGCAACAGATGTGAGTAGATTATAGTCCTTCCCTGCCCTCAAGGAAATTACCATTCAGTAGAAAGGTAGGAATCAGACATATAACAAAGAACTACCATATGTCATCAATTCTAAGGCATATATTTGTTCACATGTTATCATCTCTGAGGTTGGGATGTGTCAGTGTCATAATTTTTGCCTTCTTGTTGATATGCAAGATAATGATATTTTATAATCATTTACATTTTAGATTGGATAAATACAGAATAATACTCTGATAAAGGCTTTAAGAGACACACTAAAACATGCACTATAAGATTCAAAGGAGGAAGATACAGAGGAGAGGATCAGAAAAAGCTTCATGAAGAAAATAATATGTGAGCCGGGCTTGGTGGCTCAGCCTGTAATCCTGCACCTTTGGAAGGCTGAGGTGAGTGGATTGCCTGAGCCTGCAGGTTCGAGACCCGCCTAGGCA